GGTTTTTGGAGGGTGAAGAAATCTCAAAAACTTTTATTTCTACAAAAATTCTTACCACAATGAGTTATAATTGCTACTCTTTGAAAAAATCTAGAGAGTTGGGCATTATAGCCCATTGTGCCATGCATGGTTTAGTTGCACTACAACTTGCTAGGTCACGATAGCTTAGTAATATTTTATTATTATTTTTATTATTATTATTATTTTTTTTTACAAAATCTATTCACACTCAATTTCTCCAAAGGTCACTTATAATTTTCAAACCTTTTAAGAATCCACCCGGATCATGTTCACAAAATCTTATAAAAATTTTAAATTAAATTTATAATATAAAATGAGTAATTGGATTAGGTTTTTGACTTCAAATTACCCTAATTTGATTTAAATTTGACCTCTTAACAATCCTTTTTTTAACCTATAGCATTATTTTTCATTTTTAGTTGTAAAATAATATATAGTTTATATTTAAATTTAACAATTTTTTAAATATGGGTGGCATATAATTCAATATCAATATACATATATATGAATTCTAATAAACTTTATGCTATAAATTATTCATTTTATATAAACTAATTTTATGGTAATGCTTTTCTTTGTAAATATTTCAATGTTTAATTTGTAGAAATATATATAATCTTAAATTATTATAGTGATTGGACAAAATAATAAACCAATAGAGAGCATAGTATTGCCATAAAATAAGAATATATAATATTCGCCAGTTGGTTCAACAGGTTAAAATATGTTTGGTTATTTGAAAACATTTTAGTTAAGGTAAAAAAACACTCTTTTTCTTTAAAATTTACTTAGATGACAGTTTAGCCCTATTTTTATTATGAAAAAACACTTATCCTCTTTGATTAATGTTAACTAATGATTGCTTAATATTTACGTTAAAGAGATATAAAGATAATTAAATTTCACTTGTTTGGATTACCATGAGATTAAAAAATTAGAATATTATTTTATTTAGTTAAAATATTAAAATTAAATTTTTATTTTTAAATTATAAATTTAAAAAGTAAAAATCTAACTTTTGATAATATAATTTTACTATTTTTTTTAAATTTTTTTAGTGATATTTTAATTTTATTTAATTTTCTATTTTAAATGATACATAACCTTTTTAACTTAAATGATACTTAACTCATTTTAATTCAATATTTATAATAAAATAAAAAATTATTTAAAATATAAAAATAATAAAATTAAATTATCAAAGGTTAATTTGTTATTTTTAAAATTAAAAAAAGAAATTTCAAAAAAAGTAAATAAATCAAATAATATTTTAATGTTTAATCAGTTTGATAACTAAATTATGTGAAATTGAAATACTTTTATTTTTTTTAAACAGAACAGTTGGTGACCGTCATCAACAGTTAGTTAAAAGAAAAAGTTATTTTTTTTTATAATAAGATTAAGATTAAGGTCATTTAAGTAAATCTAAAAAGATGGGTGCTTTTTACGTTTTAATTTAATATTTTCTTAATCTTAAAAATTGGCTTGTATCCCCCTTTTTGGCGTGTGAATTTCTAGGAAAAAGCATGCAAATGGCATCATGCTAAAAAAATAAAGATTGCTCCAAAGCATTCACCCATTTTCCTTAAATTTTGAACAACATTAAATTCTACAGAAGTTAGACGTTAACTTTAATTAAATATAAGCTCTTTTTATTTGAATTTATTAGGATGATTTACGAATAATTTAATGCAATAATTATTTTGTACCCTTTGAATTTGTGTCAGTTCAATTAATTTATAAAATTTACCTTCTGAATTGCAGGGTAAACAAGTAAGTTTCTTTTAGTTGTTCTTCAATAACTTCAGGTCTGAATTCTCCATTTATATCACTGTAATTAATGACATTCTTAATTTATTATTATTTGCTTTGGCATTCTAATCTTTATCAAATTACATGAATGTATGCATCCGTTTTTATATTTTCTTATTTCTTTAATATAAATTTTTCTGGTGTAATACAGTCTAATGTAACATAATGCCACGCTATATAGGAAATTGATAATGGCAGGTTAATTTTTATAGTGCTATGCATGCATACTATATAGGGTGTTCATGGCTTTTAAAAACCATACGAACCAAATCGTACCGTACCGAAAGTTAGGTTTTTTTAAAAAAAATTATAGGTTTTGATATTAAGTAATACTGTACCGAATATTTTGGTACGGTTTTGTTTTATAAATTCAAAACCGACAAAAAACCGAACCGAACTGAACCGAATCATTATATATAATAATTTATTAAATTATTTATATCATATATAAAATGATTAAATTTCAAAGTATTAACTATAATTTAATAGTAAATTAAAGAAATTAAAAGGTAAAGGACTTATATGGAAAAGAAAAAGTATAAATATTATAGATTAAGGGTAAAAAAGATTCTAATAAATATTTTACACGCTTACAACTAGTTTATTAATTATACATTTATTAGTAAATGAGATCATTCTTTTTTATTTTTTCTTTTATTATCAAATTTATGTTATAATTTAGTGAATCACTTACTAATTTATCACATAATTTAAATTTCATAAATTACCTAACACATGATAAGCCCTAACTTAAAAAAAAAAAGAACTTCTTAAATACATTTTTCATTATAAATAAATAAAAAAATTTCCTAAATAGATCTAAAAAGTAGTTTCTGGAGAAAAAAATAAAATGAAAAAATTACATGCAGAGAAATGTGAACTAAATATTTGAACTTTTTTCCTATAAAAAACCTTAAGTTAAAAAAAAAAATAATTGTCAAATAAATACAAATAATTGAGAATTAAATTTCAATTCTTAAAATAGAAAATGTTGAATTTTATATTTTAACTATCAATAAAAATTAAGTGTAAAATAATGAATACATATGTAAAGAAAAATAAAAATAAAATTTAAACTATACCATTCTTATATATTATGCATAATAATTATTAAATTATTTATATTATATATAAAATTATTAAATTTCTAAATAATTGGATTATAAGTTATTAATTAAAGTATTTATATTATATGTAATTTAATTAAATCATCTAATAATGATAAGTCTTTAATTAAATTGATAAAAGTTCTATTAAATTAGGTTAAACAAAATTAACCTTTTCATTATTTTTATATAATTTTTTAATTTGTTTCTAATATATTGTGAGATCTAGAATATAAAAGTTATAGATGATTATTAATAAAAATTTTTGAAATTAAATTTTTAAATGTAGGAAATTATTAATATTATATAATCTTGAAATAATTAATTTTAATATTAATTATATACTAAAAGATTTTTTTGTGTGATTTGTAAAATTTTTATTAGTTTATTTAAATATTTTAATATAATTAAAAAAACCGTAAAAACCGTACCGAACCGTACCGAAACCGAACAAAACCGAAGTAATGGTAATCAGTATTAAAAAAGTATGGTTTTGGTTTTAATGTTAAAAAAATTAAAAAAATTAGTACGGTATAATTTTATGAAAAACCGATAAAAACCGAACTGTGAACACTCCTAATACTATCTCACCTGTGAGTAAAACCTACCTTACCCACATGAATAAACATTAAAACATTTAACACCATACACGTCGTGTAAACTTTTATTAATTTAAGACATATAACACTTGATCTACCTTTAACAAAATTTAAATTTTAACATTATAATCCCTTATAACACATAAAATTAATCTTCCCTTTTATAAATATTAAATTTATAGTATTTGTCCTTCTCAACCAATATGTTAATGAAATATTTATAAAAATTTAACTTTTAAGATATAAATATCTTTTAAAGTATAAATAGTGATTGTATATGGCTAAAATGGGAGAATATTAGTTAGTATTTACACATAAAAAGAGATTAATATTTTTTAAAAGTAGAATTTTTGATGATTATTTTACTAGAACGTTGATTGGGGAAGGTCAGGGTTATTTATTTAATATTTAAATGAGAAAAAATCTCTTTTATAATATTTATAAAAAGTATAGTGTTAAAATTTAAATTTTTTGGGTGAAGTACTATTTGTTCATAAGTTAAATATTATATCAAATTCAATTATCTAAAGTCAGAAGAAAATTGATATATTACTCTATGAAAAGTAGCTTTCTTACCTAAGCTTTTAGAAACAAAATTACTAGTAAACTTCTATCTAATTTTGTAAGGTACTAATTTAGACATCTTAAAGTTATAAAAAAAAAAAAGGCTGCAAAATTTCATGTCAATACTTAGAAATTGGGTTCCCACATTTTAATGTCAATATGGAAGTTATTCAATTATAGAATGAAGTTAACACGTGGAAAATAGAAAATGGTTGATATCGACTTAAATTTATATGTTGAGAGCGGGAAATTGAGTGGAAATTAAGTTTTAAACTAAGTTGAATTTGATTTTAATCCTTTAGAAGGCTATTTTTAGGAAACAAAATATGAAAAAATACTATAAAAACCTTTAGCTCTAATTTGTTTTGCATCTTTTGCAATTGCATTATGGACTACGCCTTTGCTAAGAAAAATGCTTTTGAGCTCCTGTTGTCTGCTTTCTCTGAATCAAGCCCAGGCACCATGACTAGCATAATGGATTGGTAGCTTTGATTTAATAGCAAGCAATGTGCATAAATTCATCTGTACAAGCTAATATGATCCAAGGACTTTTTATCAATCCAATTCCTTGGATATAATCTGCTTAGATGTTTCAGTTCCTTTTATCTTGCTACGCACAATATATTCCGATGTTCGTGTTTTTTTTCTTTTCTTTTGTTGTTCCTCGATTACCAATCTTCGGTGTATATTTTGTCACACTTTGTTTTTCTTTTCCACGAATCTGGAAACATGGAGGATTTTGGTCCTTGGAAGATGGCTAGAAGATTTTGTACCCAACTCAAGAAAACAGTTTCTCCTCCGGCCTGAGGTATATTTATATGATACTCCTCTAACATATGGTAGCAATACCTTTTATTACAGTTATATTTGTAAAACAGTCCTCTGAAATCTGAACACCATGCATAATGTTTCACAGATTGTTGGCTCAAGGCTCTATGCGACAGTAGATTTAGACAAGGCCAGGGTTGGGAGGACCAGGATAGTGACTCGTAACATATCCAACCCTCACTGGAACGAGCATTTTCGAATCTACTGTGCACACAAGATCTCCGAAATTATATTCACAGTTAAAGATGACAATACTCTAGGGGCAACATTAATTGGAAGAGCACATTTGCCAGTGAAGGAAATCATCAATGGCAAGAGGTGGATACATGGATAAATATAGAAGACGAGGAAGAAATTCCTATTCGTGGGCACTCCAGAATCCATGTCAAACTGAAATTTTTTGATGTCACCAAGACCCTGACTGGTCTAAGGTAAGTTCTGCAATTTTTGTTTCTCATCGTATTCTGTCATATTTTGTATTCATAATAAGTGTTTGGATACATTTCCAAGATGGTTAATAATCAATTTTCAGTAGAAATGAGGTTAATTTTGTTAAATTATCTCAACTATGTGTTTAAGGTATGGTGTTATATTTATATTTTTCTCAGTGTATCTTTTTTCATCAGGCTCTTAGGGAATTAAGGTTCCCTTTTCTGGAGTTCCGAACACATTCTTCATGGAGAGAATCGGTTGTAGAGTTTCACTATACCAGGATGCTGCACCAGATTGTTGGCAACACATATATCAAGCGATAAAAATGCCAAACACTGATTTGCATCTAGGGTTGGTCAATTTACACTAACATCACTTTAATAATATTAGTGATGGGTCAGGTCAAGATACACTTAGAATTATATTATCCTGAGGGGACAGGTCTGAATTTAAAGCTGTTAAAAAGGAAGGCCAATGAAAATGTCGAAGTCCTTTTGCTTGTTTGGGATGACAGAACTTCATTGGGCCGTAAAGAGGATGTTTGATGGCAACCCACGACGAAGGACAGAAATGTATTTTCGGAACACGAAAGTTCATTGTATTCTGTGTCCTAAGAGCTGATGCTTCCCAAGATGTTACCCAAGAGTTGAGAGTTAGTGCCATGTTCACTCACCATCAGAAGACTGTAATTGTGGATAGCGCAATACCCATTCAACGAAGAGGCAAATTGTGAGTTTTTTAGGTGGAATTGATCTGTGTGATGGAGTATGACAACCCATCTCACCCCTATTCAAGACTTTGGGCTCGATCCATTATACTGATTTCCATCAACCCATTTCAGTGGATCCTCAATCGAAAAGGGTGGTCCTAGGGAGCCCTGGCATGATATCCACTGCCAAATTGAAGGGCCTGCCGCTTGGGATGTGTTGTACAATTTTGAGCAAAGGTGGCTAAAGCAAGCTAGAAAGCGAGCCCTTTTCACACCTGATGAGATTGAAAATCTGTTTGGCTTCCCCTCACGGGTCTCAGATTCTCAAGATAGTGAAACATGGAATGTTCAAATATTTAGATCAATTGACAGTGGGTGCGGCTGCTGAATTCCCCACCATCCATTTGAGGCATCTAGAGTAGGACTTGTTAGTGGAAAGAACAATATAATTGATAGAAGCATTCAAGATGCCTATATTAATGCAATTAGAGAGCAAAGAATTTCATTTATATTGAAAATCAGTACTTCTTGGGAGCTCGTATGGATGGGAGTCTAAGGACATTAAAGATGAAGATATTGGTGCATTGCATATTATACCGAAAGAGCTCTCACTAAAGATTGCTAGTAAGATCAAAGCAGGGGAGAGGTTTGCTGTGTATGTGGTGATTCCAATGTGGCCCGAAGGGATACCTGAGAGTGGCTCTGTTCAGGCAATATTGGATTGGCAGAAGAGGACAGTAGAGATGATGTACAAAGATATATATCATGCTCTTAAAAGAGCAGAAAGGGTAGAATCCCATGACCTTAGAGATTACCTCACATTTTTGTGTCTTGGGAATAGGAAGCAGAGGAGCTAGATGGAAATTATAAACCTCCTAAGAAGCCAGACCCTGAAACTGATTATGATAGAGCCCAAAAAGCTCGGCGCTTCATGATTTATGTCCACTCGAAGATGATGATAGGTGAGCAAATAGGTTTCTCATTTCTGATTTATATTTTATTTTCCCGCCTTCTTATGAAAATTCTCATTTGACATCAAATTCTTTGCTATGATTTGGTCCAGTCATCAACTTTATGCATCAATTTTTATTTTTAAAAGTCCATTGTTTTTGTAACCCAAAAAAAAAAAAAGTTCATTGTTTTCTTTTCTTAATTAATTTGGAATATAACACCATTCTCTTCTAATTGTGAAGAAGTGCAGTAATCAACATGACACAAAATTTCAAAATTAAAACATGATTGATGCACTAGGATCACGCTGTTTGAAACTGCCTTTTGTTTCAATTGTTTGGATTTTTCAGATGATTTCAGAAACAACAAGTATTAAAAACTATGAGACTCGTCTTTTTTTCCCCTTTTGAAAATTCTAAAACAACATTCTGTGAAGTGAACATGTTGTCTAAATATTGTTTCCAAAATCATTTTAGAGAACTCAACACGTTTTATATATTAACCATCTGTTTATCTGTCCAGTGGATGACGAGTACATAATTGTGGCTCGGCTAACATCAATCAAAGGTCAATGGATGGCGCGAGGGATTCAGAGATTGCGATGGGAGGTACCAGCCGAATCACTTGGCAGCAAACCAAGCAGCAAAAGCAAAATACACGATTTCGAATGCACTTTGGTCCGAGCACCTTGGTTTCTTCATTACAAATTCTTCCATCCCGAGTCCTTGGAATGCATTAGGCTAGTGAACAAGACAGCAGACAGAAATTGAACGTCTACTCAGACAATAAAGTTGAAAACTTGCCCAGCCATCTACTTCGCTACCTATTTCAATCTCTGATGATGGCACGGTCACTGCGTTGCCTGGGTTTGATCACTTCCCTGACACCAAGGCTCCTGTCTTAGGCACCAAATCTGAGTTTATTCCCGCATTGCTTACCACATAACAATCACTTGTTATTTAGGGCGAACCTTATAGAGAATTCAAGTAACAGTATTTTAAACATGTGTAGATTACTATCTTCCTTGGTCTATGTCGCCATTTGTTTCGTCTGGAAGCCACAGGCGAAGTTGAATTGAAATTTGCATAAAGGATTGGCGTCTCTCCTCTTTCTAATAGTTGTTAACATTGGTGACAAATTGAAACATTATAAACACATTTCGAATTTAGTGTATGAATTAAAATTATTAGACAAATACAGAAAAAATTCATTTAACACTATAATTTGTTATGTTTTATCTTATTTCTTAGGGAAAAATTCATCTCTTAAACTTTGTTCCATGTTTTGTTTACCCCATTTAACTATCCACTATGCCATGTATGTCATTAAAATTAACACCATTTAACCATTTGTTATATTTATCTCCCGAATTCTTCAATTTTAAATATTAAATGTTTTAAATTATTTTTTCTTAGAATAGTTTATTGTTAAGATTTTAAAAATTTAAGTTAACATGTTATAATGGAAAATAAATATTATTAAATGTATTTAATTTTAGAATATTAAATTAAAACATGATTGAAATTTACAAAATCAACTTGCACTATTTGCACTACCTTACTAAATAAAAAGCTACCAGTTAGGAATAAAAATTTTGGATTTAGTAGAAATTATTGAAGAATTGTAATTTGAAACCTAACTATCAAATCAAATTAGGCAAGTTAGTATTTTCTGTTTACTACACAATAGCATAAAAAAAACTAAGGGCAAAAAATCATTTTTATAAATTAGTCTAAATTAATTTGTAAACCTAAGAATAAATTTTTTTTAAGTTAGATTGTGCAAATAGTTTAGATTAATTTTGTAAAACCATCATAACAAAAAAAAGATTAATTTTGTGAAATTTAGCCATATTTTAATTTAATATCTAAAATTAAATACATTTAAGATATGTAATATTAATTATATATTAATTCAAATCTTTAAAATTCTAATAATTGACTATTTTAATAAAAACATTAAAACAAAATCAATATTTAACACTAGAAAATTTAAGAGATAAATATAATAGCTAGTTTATTAGTGCTTGAAAGAGATGAATAGTATAATGAATAATTTAGGCAGCCGGAGCGTAAACAAAAGTTCAAGAAAATAAAATAACTTTTTCCCTAATTCTTACATGTAATTTAATTTTTTCTACAAATTTTTACAATTTGTGAAATCAATAATCATTTAGGTGATGGGCAATTGGATTTGACCTTGGACTGCAAAATCCCATCTACTGTGCTGTGCTTTTCTTAAAATTTGGCGCCTAAAAAAGGCTTTTTTCAATAAAAATCTAAAAAAATAATAAGAAATACCCAAATAAGTTCCCAAATAAATCCAACTCATTAAATAGGGTAAAAAGATCAAATTTACAATTCATAGTACAAATATCCTATACTATACATGACAATATTTAGTGAATCCCAACAAAACAAAACATGTTATAAATTATAACTCAATAGGACTTATCAAATGCCCCGTACTTGAGTGTTTGCTTGTCCACAAACAAAGAAAATAAATTAGCATTGAGCTAACACCATTCTTGCTTGAATCATTCAAGAACTTGTATATCAAACAAACCTAGACAACTACAAACTGAAAACCAAATGACGGGAGATGTGTATATGTAATCAGGTTGTAAATCAAGACTCTGTCATATCACTCTCAACCAGTCATAAATACTAGCAAACTTTAGTAGTTTATGAACACTTCGAAAGACACAAATGAGTAGTGCTTCAAAACAATACTAGTATAAAAAACTCAATTGAAGGCCTTTATTTACTTGCACGATTTTCACTCCCCCCCCCCCCCAAAAAAAAAAAAGTGATTGACTTTATATACTCCTTCCTAAGGGCAACCCATGTAGTGAACTTTTAGCCAATGATCAAACGATGATTAAATATGATATTTGTTACTATTACTATTAAGAATTTGCTGGATTTTAAGGAAAAAAATGATTTAGAGTTCAAAGCCCAAAACCGTCCTCGATTTTGGTAAAGCCCTGGCAATTGATTATCATATAAACAGAAATGTAGGTGTGTATATTTAAATCTCCCTAAGTTCATACTTTTGAGCATCAACTTAAAGTCAACTTCCTACTTTACCGAAAAAGAAAAATATAAACAAAAATGTAGAAATTGAATACAAGAACTCTTAAACAATATTCTTTGTAGGTCCGCTACTTGATTTAATGAATTAATTTCTTTAAACAATAATCTAATTAAAGTTTTAGGGATTGAATCAATATATGTATATATATATATATATATGTTTTGTGCAACTTGTTCTTCACCTGCCAATCATGTGTCACACCCTAACCCGAGAGTGCGATCGGCACTAGAGTTGGCATACCAACTCTAGTAAGCCTCAAACCAAAACAGGACAAATAGAATCTCTCACCAGAAATATAATTAATATACATAACAAAACATGTCTGAACTGTACATGAAGCGTCTAAAATACAAAAAGTAAAATACAGAAAGTGCCCATACAATCAAGTTAGTGTAGTGGTGACGGAATAGTCGCAGAAGCTACCACTGCCAATTAGAACTGAATTTGGAAGGTGGGGAAAAAGGGGTGAGTATAAAACTCAGTGAATAACAGTACTACTCTAGACATGCGGGGACAGGAATCGTAACCATTAAAACACAAGTATCGTTTCCAAATAATAACACAGTTTACAAAAGTCACTTTTGCCTCAGATAACACATGTAGTTTACATATGCACAATCAGATCAGAAAATCAGAAATCTATTAGAGTATCAGAATGCATCACATATCACATATCAGAACCAGAGCCACATATGGATCCAGGGCACTTCTTGCACGCCACGGAGACCCACTGTCTGCGGCTAAGCCTCTGGCATCTCGGATCAGAATTGGAATCACATATGGACCCAGGGCACTCCCGCACGCTACGGCAACCCTCCGTCCACCGCTGAGCCCCTGGAATCCCGTATCAGAGTCAGAGTCACAGATGGACCTTAGGCACTTCCGAATGCTACGGCAACCCATCGTCCGTCAGTTGAGCCCCTAGCATCCCGTATCAGAGTCAAAGTCACATTCTCATATCTGTTGCACTGGAATCTCGTGCCAGAATCAGAGTCAGAATCACATATATCACATCATTGGCCTAGGGCACTTCTCGCACGCTACAGCAGCACACCGTCCATCGGTTGAGTCCTTGGCACCCCGTGTCAGAACCAAAATCACATAAAACTCTCGACAGATTACTTTTAAAAATGCATGTATCACTGAGACAGGTATGTAATTAATTACGAAAATAATGTCAAGCTTATCGTACTTCAAAACAGATAAATATATGTCCCGAAAATAAGAACATGGTGTAGAAATCAAAACATGAAAATGAACAGAAAACCTGAATGCAAACACATGTATAGAGAGTACTGTCACTCATCGGGCACGTCGGAACTGAAATCCAAAACTCTGACAGATCGCTCACTGGCTAAGGCGTACCTCCTCAGATGTATCTACAATCGTCAAGACACAAGTCAGAATCGAAACCGAATTTACTCTAGAAGACTCACTCATTGGAAGTGGCCTGGGACTTCCCCCGTGTTCAAGCTCCTAACATGCATTCTAAGACACCACTAACCCACCTTAAAACCCATATAACTCCAAACGTTCATTAATTCTACTCAACCACCCTTGATAGTAATGAACCGGCATCCATAAATCCTTGAACCAATCCAAACCAGTCTAAAACTACCCCAAGCCAAGATGAACCAGTCACAAAACCCTCAAAATCAGACTCAGAAGGCCCAAAACCCTAGGAACTACCCTGAACCGGCTAAAAATCCCTTAAACGGCCTTGAACCGGCCAAAAACCCTATTTCCAAGTATCGCATACTGAACTGAGCTCGGTTCACCTCGAACTAGACACCCAACCATCACCAAATTTTATGGTTAGCTAGGTTTCATCGTGTTGAACTAAGAACCGATTCAACATCTCCAAGAACCGACCAAAAATCCTGTGAACCGGCCTCCCAAACGTTGCCACACTAAACTAGCTGTTCACCCTGAACCACACCACCCAAAACTTCCCAAAATCCCTTGGTTTGATAGCCCTCAGCTCCTTGAACCAAGAACCGGTCCACTCGCTCCAAGAACCGGCCTAAAAAGCCCTGAACCGACCGTCAATGCTTCGGTCAAACACTAGCCGATTCACCTTTCCAAAACCCTAATTCCAATATTAAATTATTAAATTCTAGGTTATCTAATTCCCCCTATCCTTGACCAGTCCCTATCCTGGTTCTACCCTACAACCGGGATAGCATATCCCAACAACCCGTTGGTTGACTCACCAAGTCAACCCAACCAAAGCTTCTGCTAGGCTGAGTCAACCTACGGGTTGACCCAGCCCAGCCTAGCCCCGTGGGCTGGCCCACTGGCCGCTGCTCAGACTGCCCAAGCTCGGGCCTAAACGGCCTGGCCTAGCGCAGCATAGGACCCGAATCATTCCGAATCCTTTCTCCTTTGCCCGCCGACTAGGCATCTAAACCCGGTTGCAGACCTGTCACTTGCAACTAGAAAATCAAAGAAAGATACATAAAAAAACAACCACAACCCAGCTTACCTCAACCGATCCAGACTAAGGCTTAAAAAACTCCCTCTGGCAAACCGCCCTGCAGCATGTTTAATTGGATTAATCCACTCCAAGCAGCTCAAAATCCCGAAAAATCCAGCTCGGGCACAAACGATCGACCGAACCAAAGAAGCCCCAAATTCTCCCTCTCCTCTCTCATATTTTTAATTCAACCCCAAATCCTGAAATTCTTACAATTACACCCCTGGTCTTAAATAAATAAATAAATAAAAATCTGGGTTATTACATCATGGCTGGTGCACTTTTTGGGCCAATGTTAGGCTTCAAGAATTATTTGGACCAATGACCTTTAGCTTAGCTTTGATTGCAATAATCACCGCCAACAAATGTCCCC